TGGGCGGCTCACAACTCATTAAAAACAATAAATAAATATACAATTAAAAGCCTATATACACTCTCAAATTATCTTCAGAACATTCTGCAGTACACCAATTGGTGTGAAAAGAATCAGTATGTTTAAATAAAGGCTCTATGGAGTGGTCATTCTCACTTAAGGTCTTTTAGTTGCCTGTAAGATTTTCTGTACCTGATTTACTGAGTCTTCGCTGCTTTGTTTCATAAATTCCTCCAGCTCCTGTTTCTCTCGCATTACTCTTTCTAGTTGGTCATTAGCCTGCCTCAACATCATCTGAAGTTTCTTCACCTATCGGATTAGACACAATACATCATAAATGTCCCTCTTCTAAATAAGGTCAATTTTTCTTCAAGACAAAAGCTATGCTTATAATTTAGAAACAAGATGGAATAGATAAAGAAACCGTGAAAATGAGGAGAGTTTGGCTACAGCCCATACCCTCTTTGGTACAAGACATGACCTTTTCCAACACCATAACCATCTGATTCTTTGACCCAAGAACAAAACTTCAGTACAGAAGTTTGAATTCTTTGCCTTAAAAGGGTAGCAAGATTATCTGCTGTTGTTTGTGTTTCATTATGTTCACAAAAATGCACCATTTCCTCTTTTAGCATTAATGGAAATACTGTACAAATTGCTTTCACTCTCTGAAATGTAAACATTCCTATAGAGATCACAGAATCAAGTATCTCATCCAAATGTTTATGAAGAGACTGAATTTAAAAGAAGCTCTATTTAAATACAGTATACATTTTAATAAGGCCATTAGAGGTTGAAAAACCTAATAGTATTTTGTCTGCCTGCTGAAGGGCTTGTGCACAGGATCAGGTGCTATTCCTCCAACTCTCTTCAATCTCCAATTTGTACATGTGTTTGAGAGTGAATCAGAGGCTAAAGTGAGTTGAAAGAGAGCAAAGGAGTTCCTGCCCAAAATTAGGTGCTCTCAACTCACCTCTCATGAACACAATAGCAGATTTGCTATTATTCTTATACAGAGGTGGGTAGAATGCAGAATTCCCTGCAGCCACAAGTGACCCGTGAACTATACAAGAAAGTGAGCATGGTGATGTAACTGGGAAATCAAGATCATATGGGAAAGGGACTGTCAATGCAGGGAATCAGTCTAAGTCAATCAACTTCATAAGCCAACCCTGATCTTGTAAACAAGCCCAAAGTCTTTAACAAATGAAATCCAAATTATTCAAGAATACTGGCTGAGGATTCAATTATGTGTTGTTTAAACAGCAGGTGATTTTTTATTGCAAAAGTCAGGACAGGAGCAATATTTATAATAAGTTGTTTCACCAGGATCCAGGGGTGAACCTGCCTCCAATTTATCTCTTACTCCTGTATAATAAATGATGCTGAACTAGCTGATCACTGAATTAACACAAGCAGCAATAGCCTGCACAAGCAGTATCAATTTTTGTGTACAGAAGGAAGCATGAGAATTGATAATGTAGCAAAGAGGCTAAGAGCCAGCAACATTGCTTCTACTTGCTGACCACCGTATCCAAGGCCCAGCACCTTTTTCTTTCTGGCACGAATAGCAACAGACACCTCACCTGAGTTCTCTACCTCAGCTGCACATGCCGACTCAGCTATCCTTGGATTACGCATGAATAAATATCAGCATCTGAGATGTACTGAGCAAGTGTTCAAAGGCTAGTTCCTACAGGCTTTGGAACTGGGGTAGCTGCTGAGACCCAGCTGAGCTTTCAAATCTCCAGATATCTCTCCAATTGTTTAGTGGGCGAGTGGCTTTAGATTCTTTTGCATTTCAGGTAAGAGTTTTCTTAATAACTATTTATTTCATGGGTGACAGTTATCAATTTTTTAAACTGAGCTCTATGAAGGCTGTTTTGAGGAATTTAGAATATATTTAGAGATGGTTCTTAAGAGTAGAATATATATCTCATTGTTCTCAAAATGAGAGGTAAACTGAATTTTGTAGTCCAAAGATGAACTAAAAAAAAGCTTTTCTTATTAGATGGCTTCCCTTTAAATGTCTAATTTATTATAGAGAGGTAACCCTTTTTATATACTCTATTGGCCAAACTAGTGAGTTTTAGTATGTTGGATCCTAAGAAACTGAAGAAGTAATTGAAAAGGAACAATATCTGGGGTTCATAGAGAACCACCAACAAAAATCTCCTTCTCCTTTTACACTAAAACGTTTTAATAGAATGAAATATTAATGGTGTAATCAGTGAATGTGGGTTGCCTTTGTATTTTTTACTGTATCTGATTTTATTTTTATGATGTAAATTGTCTTATGAAAAGATAGGGTGGTATTGGTGCTGTAATTAATAACTAAATCGTCCTAAGTGAAAATTGACTTGTTTTATTTTTCCTTGCCCCTTAGAATCCTTTCACTTTTTGCAAATAATTAGAGACCAAGCTGCACTCACCTGATCCCTTGTTTCAGCCTCCTGAATCTGGATGCCTTGCAACTGTTTTTCATAATTTGAACACATATCACAACGCCTTCCCAGCTTGTTCCCAGCATTTTGCACCTAGAGAATATAAAACCGTTACTTGTCTGGGAAGCTTTATAGAAGAATGTATACGAATTCCACTGTGTTGATGGCTACAACAACTGTAGCAATTTTGGATTAAAATGGGGAAGTTTTCATGGGAGAGGTATAATAGACAATCCATTCTCTGTAAAAGTAATCCTCAGATGGGAGTACATAGTGTGTACAAACACATACCTCTTTCTGAAGGAGATTCCATTCTGTTTCACTAACTAAACGGTAACCGCTAGGAGACACATAAGCATTTTCTACACTTTGTGTGATGCTGGAGAGAAGGGAAGCAGTTTCCTCCTGCTCTGGGGTCATTGCTGTGATTGCTTTTTCCTGGTCTTTGGTTAGCATAAACCCACCAGGCATTTGCAGAGAACCCAGGGAGGCAGTGTCAAAGTTCTCCGACATTGAGTCTGCCCCAACCAGTGGCCCAAAGTCAGATTCATCAAGGTTCCCAGCCGATTTAGCTTTATTGTTGTAGCCCAGACTTTTGGCTTGTAAAGATCCTGATGTTCCCAAACTGTCTGTTGACTGAGCTCTACGCAGCCCCTCTTTAAACATGTCATTGTCCGACTTGAGAGATTCTCCTGAAGACAGCAATGCATCTGTGTCAAGCGAGTGGGCTGAACCGTGAGTGCTGTTAATGTGCACCTATAATTTAAACAGAAAAACTGTCCAACAATAGAAACTGCCTTGTATCCAGCCAAATCATTGCTCCACCAACCCATTCCTGTCTGCTCTGAACAGCTTTGAATATTTCCAAGGATCAGTACTCAAGAAGTGCTAAGAACTGAATGGGGAATTTGGGGAGTACTAAAATATATAATCTGCCATTGAGTTATGGATTTTCCCTCTCATTTATCTCCAACAATGAAATCTTCCAACTCCCCCTTCAGTAGAGTTTTCCTTATTCATACAATTTCTCTTTTGATGCGGGCTATCTCTTTATCTCACATTTTCATTGAGATTAGGAGTTGTTTCTTATTCGGAAATCACTAGAAAGTTTGTCAGCTCCCCCGCTTGCTCTAGATGGGCTGTACTCTTAAAAGAATAGTCTAAAGGAGACTAGAATGCTCCTAGATTTAGTCTCTAACTGGATCAGCTGAGTATGGCCAGAACTGCATTTGCCTAGCTACAGCTAGTCCACCAACTACAGCCCTTTTGGGAGTAGGAGGCCTTGGCAATTCATATTCTCTTCACCTCAAAACTGGGTTACTACACTATGCTCTATCTACAGCTGCCTTGAAGACCACTCAAAAACTACAACTACTGTAGTACAGAATGTGGTAGCCTGCATGCTGATGAGGAAGATCTGATTCAGCTTTATGACCCCTGTATTGCAAGTACTACATTAATTGCTAATAGGTTTCTAAATACAATTCAGGTGCTGATAGTGACCTATAAAGCCCTAGAGGGCTTAGGCTCAGGGTACTATCAGGACTCTCTCCTCCAAGTAGAACCTGCCCACCCTGTTTGCAGCTCATGAGGATGAAAGTGGTTTCTTTACTTTGAAAGTAAGTGGGAAAGATGGCCCAGAATCAGATCTTGATGGCAGCTCTATCCCTCTGAAAAAACTTGCCCTGAGATCCAGGTGGCCCTCATGTTATATTCTGAAGAACAGTGAGGATATAGGTTAGGTTGTGGGACTGTTCATAAATTTTAAATTCAATGACTTTGTTTAATTTGATTTTAATGTTTAACTGTTCTAATATGGCTTTATATATATATATAAAATTACATATAAATACCTTATTTGAAGAAAGTATACTTTGACTTACTGTGAAGAACCACCTGGTGTTTGTTAAGTAGGTGGTATACAAGTGTTGGAAATCAATCAGCCAATCAGTCAATCCTGAATAAGATCTAACCACTTGCAAATTTCTCCAACTTATTTCCACTTCCAGCATTCAAAGCCAGCACTAACCTGTAAGTATCTTTCATCTCTACTAGAATTTAACACACTGAGAAGACATTGTGAGCAATATAACACATCTCTCAGACAAGAGGTCCAATATTTCATTTTTGAACAACTGAAATCAGATGATTCTACAAAAGTAACAGATCTATAAAACAAAATTAAGAAATCTAACAAACCTTGTTTTTCAAAGCATTGACAAATAGAGACCCCGAGCTGCCAAATTTCTGCTTAATTATCATAGCCATGAACAACTGATAAGCAAACTGATGAAAGAGGAGAGGACTAATACTGTAGCTTAACAACTGTAGGATTTATATTTTATTGCAAAACAGTTTAAGTAGCAGTGACTAGACAGCAAGAAGAAGGCCACCCTGGAATACACTCAAGTATTCTTTTTATTAAAGAGAAATTGTAAATGTGCTAAATTGAGATATTCAGTCCTAAGGAGGAGGAGGAAAACTAGTGTAATAAGCATGTCCCAGGCAATGAAGTCAGAGCAATGCCTACATTTACGCCAAAATTCCTTTTCACCAGCTGTTTACTACATCATATAAATGCTGATATTTGTACACTTAGCTTTAAATGCAAAGTCAACTTCTATCTTCAGAACAGATTTCAAACTTCCCTCCAGAATTAAAAAGCTTTTAGCAAATTTAGAGCTAGGGAAAACATTCCAGCATTTACAAGTTAACAATATCAAAAGCTATGATAATTTTGCAACGTTCACCCATCAGAAAAGCTGAACTACTTGAAAAGGAAGCCTGTACAGAATCACAATGTGCTTTAAAATTCTTGGCAAAACAAACCAGAGAAAATTGGATGGGGAAGAAATATTTTGATTCTACTCCTATCAGTCAACATAAAAATACTGCACTACCATAAAGAATGAAAACAGAGTCTTTGGGGTAGTCTTAATGTAAGCTAGCATTCTGTCTTCTAGTCCAACCAAGAACATAAATTGTCCTAGGAATACAAAAAAAATTGTTTCTACATAACTATCCACATCATATACGAACTAGGCATTTGGTTCTTGATCTAGTTCACAATCCATTCATGAAAAGGGGACTTTTAAATATACTTGATCAGTAAGACTTGAGATATTAATATTTGTAATGACCTACCTTAAAAAAAAAAACAGAACCCTAAGCATTTGACATGGCAATAATGTAAGAATATTGAATTACTCCTGAAAGGTTAAGAAATATAGGAATATTTTAAAACAAACAAACTTGGGCAAAGCAGCCCCAAAAATTCTTGGGCATCTATCTGGTTTGGATAGCAGTACCCGAAAAAGATACCATTTTTAGCAAACAGAATGGGGAAAATGGACTAGAAAGTAGTACAATGTGTATGGGCAAACCTTCATAATAGAGGAAGTCAGCCCTCCCTTGTTCACATGCAATAAATTTCTACCCTAGGCTACATTTAATTATTCTTGCAGTTCAGATTTAGTTAACTCCATTTTAAGATGAGGTTTTAATTTTGAAATATTAAAGTTGCTTAATGGAGGTTCTGTGCTTTACTGCTAGAATAGGGAAATCCTAAAGCTTAAGATAAATATTTTGAGGAAGCGTACAACAAAACTCTCATTGGGAATTTAGTGTGAAAGAACTAAAACATCTGTCTTCCATTTTAGGCTGATTTGGAACAGTTTCTCAAATATAAAGTTATCAAACATAAGTGGTTAGGCTATTTGTAAGAGAACAGAATCTCTTGCCAAAGTCTTATGCAAAGTCATGCAATAGCCTCCCACTCCTTTGAGCCTTACTTAAAACATCTCAAATTATTTCATATTTACAGATTTGTACATTGATTAAAAGCTAGCTATTGTACTAAGTTTTGTCATGGAACAACAATAATCTAAATTTCAAGTCAGGCTACACATTGGTAAGCAGCAGATGGTGAGAAAACTCACACAATGGGCCAGTTGCCTCACAATAAATAGTGCTAGACATTGCTGCAAGGAAAGGAGACATGGTTTTCAGTTGCAATCCCAGGGCTGGTATAAATCCAGCTCTTTTTGGTACAGCATTCAAAAGTCAAATACAATCTTCCCCTGACTCTTATCTTCAATCTCTGACAAACTGTCCCATAAATAATTCATTAAAGAGTGACTCTTGCAATCTATTTACACAATATGCTTAACCTGGTTATGGAATTAACTACACAACACCCTATGGGTTTGTACAATACACTGTACAATAAACTAACCAAATGGGTTCATTTACACAACATGCTAAGCAAAAAAAAAAAAAAAGCATCCTCAGTGAAGGAAGTGCTGTTCGAACAACTGAGTTTACCTCTTCACCAGGGAATGATGGAAGGGCTTCTGCATGAGCTGTAGAGCATATTACTTTTGATTCATCATCGTTGCCTTTCTCTTTCTCTTCTTTCCTTTTATGAAGTCTTCTTTGCTCTTCATCCTCCTAGAAAAAAGTTGAAAATCAAAGTGTTTTTACCTGCAAGACAGAAAATGCTCCCTTCTTCCTATATACCAAAACTGCATCATTTCAGACCAGCATAAATCATTCTTAAAAAATCCAGACTACAATAGGATTATATTTCAATGTAACTAACATTTCAAGATATCTAACCTCATAAATTGGCTTCCTCATGCAAAATATTAGATATTAATGACACAAACACCGAAAGCCCATACAAATCATACAAACAGTAATCCACAATGCGTATCCTCCTTTCATTCTATTCTGCATACAGACACACAACCTCCCAAACATATCACAATCCATAATAACCCCATCTAGAGATTAGATGTCATTAAGAATATGCCCCCCAAATATTACAGTGCTAGAAAAAATGCTCCCTTATGCCTACCTCCAGTCTCCCTCCTTCAGTGACAGCAAAGCTTGGCTACAAAATCTCAGTGCTGTATTAGCTAACCTGATCTTTCTTCTTTAGTTCTTCAACTTGCCGTAGCTGTTCTGAGGTCAACACCATTTCCATCCATTGCATGTCCCTCATCAGTAAACGCTGTGACTCTAAGAACTGGTCATTGGCCTTCTGCCATGTGTGTTTGAGCTGATTATGTTGTTGCCTTTCCTGCTCTAATAGATGGCAGACTATTTAAAACAGATAAGAATAATGAACTCAATTTTGAATTGTTACGTAGTTAAATTTTCTCATTCAGTTAATTGTAATTCTATTTTGTATAGATCTAGGGATATACTGAGGAGCTAACATACACAATAATCGGAAGGAGAGTAAGAATACTGCACAGGTAGTCCTCACTTAACATCCACTTGTTCAGTGATTGTTCAAAGTTACGATGGCACTGAATGAGGGTACTTATGACCAGTCCTCGTAGCTGCAGACATCATAGCGTCCCCGCAGTCATACGATCATGATTCAGGGACTTGGTAAGCAGCCTGCATTTACGATGTTGCAGCGTCCTAAGGTCACATGTTCACCATTTGTGACCTTCACTGCTGGCTTCCGACAAGCAAAGTTAACAGGGAAGTCAGCAGGAGGTCGCAAATGGCAATCACGTGACCACAGGATGCTGCAACTATGCAGGATTCGCCTAACAGCAGCAACTGCAAATGCTGTTGTAAGTTGGCATGGTCATGTGAATGTGCTTTACAACCATGTTGCTTAGTGACCGAGTTGCCAGACCCAATTACTGTTGATAAGTGAGGACTACCTGTATGTACGCTGTGCACTCTTGAAAGAATTGCCATTTACATTTCAAATTATTTATAGTGCACCATCAATACATGAGATTTTCAGAAAATTGAAAGAGGAGGAAACTTGTAAGTAAAATGGTGACAAAAGGAAAGGGAAAATTAGGAGATAGGTTTAGTTACAAGTAGTCCTCACTTAATGACCATTCATTTAGAGACCATTCAAAGTTACAACAGTGCTAAAAAGTGACTTACGACCAGTGTCCAAAGTTACGACCATTGCAGTGCTCCCACAGTCACATGATTGTGATCCAGGCGCTTGGCAACCAGCTCCACTTATGATGGTTGCAGTGTCCTGGGGTCACGTGATCACCACTTGCAACCTTCCCAGCCAGCTTCTTGCAAGCAAAATTAATAGGGAACTGCATGATTCACTTAATGACCACGTGATTTGCTTAACAACCATGTGATTCATTTAATGACTGCAGTGATATGCTTAATGACCACTGCAAAAGAGGTTGTAAAATTGGGTCCGGTCATGTGATGATTCACTTAATGACTGCATTGCTTAGTGATTTAAATTCCAGTCCCAATTGTGGTTGTTAAGTGAGGACTACCTGCATATATAATTATTCATCCAGGGCTTTACAGAAGAGGTAACATTGCACATTTGTTCTAGGAAGTAATTTCAGGCATAAGGTACATCAAGGACAAAAGGGCAAAATTCTTTAAGGTAGCAGCAGATCTTTTTTCCTCCAATTCACCACTCTCAATAGCTCCCCAAACTACCAGGACCAATGTATCAGAATATGCTGGCAGAATGAAAAGGAACAGGGCCAAAGAAGGAACAAGAAAAAGTGTTATCCACAAAGACCAACATCTACTGCAAAGATTAGAGGGAAGTCACAGTTTATTGTTGTATAGACAGCAATCTATAAGCAAAATACTGAAAATAAAAAAGAATGTTAATAATCAAAGAAGTAAAACAGAAACTATACAACTAGAAACCAAAGCATGAAAATTGATAATAAAGCTATGTATATTTGTAATCTTAAGTAAAGATACAAAATTTCAACCACAAATTCAGTGGTTCTATCCTTTGTTGATAACTAAAACAGAGATAAAATGCAGCAAAAGGAATCTTTAAATTAAAGTTTTTATGGAAGGAATGAATAAGAAGGAACAAACATTGTTAGTTTTTGTCAAAGATTTATCTGGTACATAATGCTTTACATTTCCTAAACAACATGAGCGTACAATAGGAACTGCTATAAATACAGAAGGCCCTTCAGGCCGGTATAATCTACAGAGCAGATTATGTGGAATCACCCAACTAAATCACAAAATAAGCATCTGTAATAATAATTTTACAAGATTCTGCCTTACTATAGGTAAATCAGATGTTAACCTCTGAAGGATACTCATAGGTAAGAAACAGTATTCCAGTTTTGTTCTGTCTGTTCTCAGTACACAAGAACTGCATGAAGAACTGAGCGTACTACTTTGGTGTTGTTCTTACATAATCTTACCCCTATTTCAACAACATTGCTCCTTTATAATTCTTTATTAATATTGTGTTAATATTCTTCATAGTAACTAACTCTCCAGAAAACCATTTGCTCAGAAGATGTCAGATAGAGGGAAAGGAAAAAGACAAAACTCCACGAATTACCAAATATATCGTTCCCTTAATATGCATCACATATTTTAAAAAATAAAATTGAATTGTACATACTAACTGTAAATCAAAGACTGGATTCTGGTTGGTATGACGTTTCCTGCCTTCCTTGGATTCTGGGCTCTAAAAGTTATCTTTCCAATATGAGATGACATTACACTGAATTCAAGTAGCGCATACCGCTTAGCTTGAGCATGTAGTTGCCTGCCCTAAGTCTATATAAAACTACTATTTACATATTTTTTAACGCAGAGAAAAATCCATACCTTCATGAAGTTCTTTCCGTAATTTTTCTGCATCTTCTTGCAGAACTGACTTTTGAGTATTTAAAACAGCTACATACATTTCTAGATCTGTTCTACAGGATTTCTCAGCTTCCAAATAGTGATTCAGTTCTTTAACCTGAAAAACATACAGAGAAGCAAAAGTTAATGGTTAGCATAGACGTTTCTCAAGTATATTTCTAAGCATGCTGGAAAAAGTCTTTTATTCAGGAATGGTTATATTCTAGGTATGTTGTCACACACATCAGTCTTGTATATTACCCACATTATAGCCTTAAGCACTATAGTGTTTAAATGTTTGTGAACCCCTTTGAATTTTCAATATTTCTGCATAAATATGACCTAAAATGTGATCTGTTCTCCACACAAGTCCTAAAACTAGATAAAGAGAACCCAACTAAACAAATGAGTCAAGAACATTATTTTTATTTATTTATTTATAAATAAATTATGCATTATTTATTATATTTGTTCATTGATTTACCGAGGAAAAAGGTCTATATATGAAGTTTGCAGTTCTCCATATTGACTGGTACATATGGAATTTTGAGAACATACAAGTGCTTTTGTAACACAGCTGTCAAAATGGACAGGCTAATCAGGACAAAGCTGTTTACCAGAAGGTATACTGGTGAGGCTATTCCCTAACAAACTTTCCATCTCTACGAGATGCAATCTCCCACCTGAACTTCCTCTTGCCTTTTTTTCAAGACAGGTAGGTATGGTCCAAACAAAGTATCTTTGCATCTGTCTTCATTTTTATTTTTCAGAATGGTTCATTTACAAGACTTCTGCACACTAAGGCTGTTACCGCTGCTAAATATATATATTGAGGGAGGCTGGACTGGAAGAAGATGAGCATGGTTTCAAAATTGGAGGAAGAAACATTAATAACTTGCACTATACAGTGACATTTCTAATAGCTGAAAAAGCAAATGATCTGCAAGCTCTAGTAATGAACATCAAGGATCACAGTGAAAAAACTGAACTAAGATTAAATATAAAACCCAAAATAATGACAACAGGTACAGCAACCAGCCTTAGAATTGACAAGGAATATATTGGAATGATGGTTAGCATCTGCCTTTTTGAATCAACTATTAACAGTAAAAAAAAACAGCAATCAAGAAATACACCATAGATTAGCATTTGGTAATGTAATATTGAAGGCCTTGGAAAAGATATTCAGATGCCTTGACATGTTGATACCTACAAAGTTTAGAATCATGCAGGCAATTGTTTTCCATGTGACACTCTATGGAAGTGAATGCTGGATTTTGAAAAACACAGAAAGAATATTCACGCTTTCAAATCTGGTGTTGGAGAAGACTCCTGGGAATATTATGGATAGCAGGGAAAACAAACAAATGGATCACAGAACATATCAACCCAGAGTTCTCACTTGAGGCACAAATGAGCAGGCTCAAATTATATTTTGGACATAAAATGTGAAGATCTAGCTCTTTTGAGAAATGTATAATGCTGGGAAAGGTGGAAGAAAAGAAGAAAACTAGCAGCAAGGTGGATGGACTTGATTACAATGGTGACAGGTGTAATACTTGAAAGATTTGAAGGGCCTGGCTGGGACAGATCATCCTGCAGAAGGTCAATCTACATGGTTACTATGACTTGATGGCACATAATGAATCAATGGAAGTTGGTGTCTTTATTGCATATTAATTTCCTATTTTAAAAAAATAAAAAAATATATTTCTTACTTTAAGGACTTTTAGCCCACACTTCAGACTCCAAAATGTCTAGAGAAGCTTATACAAAGTCAGTAAGTATAATAATGTATCGTTAAGGCGTATTCACTTCACTGGTATCTTCTGCTTCAGTTTCATAGGTTAATAGGATGTAAAGGACTGTGTGAGGAGGATCATGCAACATTTCCACTACAATGTTTGTGCAAAGTTAAAACTTCAACTCTACAGTTAGAAAGATAATAAATGATGCTTCCTTATCTTTTAATATTTGCTTGCTAGACAAGATCTTCTATAATCCTCTGCTAAAAACAAATATTAAAAGTTATTAAGGGAAAAAAAGAGTGACATACTTGGGGTAGCTTGAATATTAGACAGCAGTACTGCTATTAGTTTTATCAGGAACAAGATACTATAAGAAATAAAACCTGTTACAAAATACCACTCAAACGTGATAATTTGCCCTATTCTTTTAATATGCAAAATTCCAGGAGAATATTGCAATATGTTGTTAAAAAACAGAGGGAGAAAGAAAGATTTCCAAGTGCAGTATCAGTTTTCTCAAACCATAGTCTATCCTTTAAATGCTGTATATACCTAGCCTATCAAGTTGAATGTGAGGCACTGAAATTTAAATCTACATTGAGTTTTAAAGCTCACTAGAAAGCTTCTGTTTTCTTAGCCAATTCAAAATGTATTCAACAAAATGCAGATGCAGCAAAGATACAGCTTTGAGTTTTGAAGAAAGCAATGATGTCATGAACAGAGTTGAGAGAGAAGAGAGGAAACATAGAGGTAACTATATTTTTAAATATGTTTATAATGCTTAGTGAGTTAGACAGTAGTTTGTCCACAGAAATCTCCTTTGGTGTCTCCGTGTTTCCTGTGTCAAAGAGCATAAAAACAGCATGCTGCAAAACAAAGAACCAATCTCTACTGTAGATAGATGGATATCTGAGGAGCCATCTCGCCCCTGTTATATCAGCCTGCCCCACTCGGTCCGTCAGAAGGGGCATGTTGCAGACCCCACCAGTCAAGGAATTTCAACTGGCGGGATTTAGGAAGAGGGCCTTTTCTGCGGTGGCCCCCACTCTGTGGAACAACCTACCTCCCGAGGTGTGATGTGCCCCCACTCTCATGGGCCTTCAGAAAAAGCACCAAATCCTGGCTGTGCCAGAAGGCCTGGGGGCCGGATGGGGACTTGCATCAGTGGAAATGGCTTGTGGGGTAATTGATTTTGGCTCCCTGTCATCTTGAATGTTTTTAGTATTTATGTATAGGGTTTGTTTTAGAGTTTCTTTTTAATGGATTAATTTTAATTATTTGTGTGGTATTTTTTAATGGTTCATGGGTTTTTGGTTTTAATTGTGAGCCGCTCAGAGT